AATTTTGTGTCCGTCAATTATAGATCAAATCAAATTTAATATATTATTAGTTATTTTATGTTATTAGCGGTGAATCAGTTTTTGTCTTAGATGTTATGATTTTGTTTTTGATTGTTTCGTCTATCTAACAGTAAGTAATTGTACAATTATTATGATATGCCTTACGTTGTTCGTTCTTTGTTGAATTAATTTGTTTTAATGCGCATTGCTCCTATTTTAAAAGATGATTTACCTGAAAATAAACCATTTTGTTAAGCTATTAAGTTATTATAATAAGTCTACAAGTAGGTTAAATAACTATCAGCTATAAATTAATAACAGTATAATATATATAATCAAAGTTAAGAATGACTAAGACAACTGATGCACCAATGGTTTCGAGTGCTGAAGTATCACTGATTATATGAACCTGTATTTTTATATAGTCTGTGGCAGTATTTATTGAGGATGCAAATGGCGTGTCGGAGTATTTTAAACTAGCAGCTATTTTAATAAAGGTAGCTATCCAAATCCAAAACTCAAAGAAGGCCATGAAGAATAATAGGATTATATTAGCCCTTTGACTGTTCCAGATGTACCTTACGTTCCTGTATTTTATAATATTATCATTTGCCGGTAACCGTACAACTTTAGAAAACCCACTCTCGCATTATTTCAAACTTAAATAATTAGATCTATTATAGATTTCAAAATTAAAACTGAAAAACAAAAACTAATATTTTAGCAGTGAAAGGGTTAACTGTAAGTTGTCATATTTTCTTCTTCATCAATGCTTTAAATATTTTGCATGACTCGTTCTCTAAAATTTAAATTTAATAGTTGAGTACTAACTTTAAAGAGATTTTTTTTTGTTATTTTCTTTAAGTATTATTGATACTATTGGAAAATTGCAGTACCTAATTTGCTTATAAATAACCTTTAATATACTTGTTTTCAACCACATCAATCTTTATGAATTTGTTGTCATTCACTAATATTTAATGAATAGTGAATACCTAGACATTTTCATAAAATAATCTGTTCAGCGAGAGTTGACCCACTCGATCGACAAAAACAGCAGGCCGGCCTGTCTTTGGAGCACATTTTTATTTATCTATGTGTATAAAAAAAATTAATAACCATATTATGATAGAATTATTGGTTTATTTGTATTAATTATACTCAGGGCCGGTGTTAGGTTTTGCGAGGCCCTGGGAGAAATACATTGAGAGTACATTGTATCGTATATATCTCTTAGGGCCGTTCTTACAATGTCCGGTTAAAGTTAACCGACACTTAACCGGCCGAATTCTGCCGGTAATAAAATCTGTTATCAGTCGGTTAGCGTTAACCGACACTTTACAGGACATTGTAAGAACGGCCCTTAATCGACAAGACTGAAGACGACAACCATTCACCAGTAGTGTAGATAATAAAATATTAAAATGATGGTATAAAATGAAAATCAAATAAAATTAATTTTGTCAATCTATAAATAAGTTATAAATAATGACTGAATGCTTTAAACTGGTATTTCCACAATTTTTAATTCAAATAATAATTGTGCTTCCTAGTTGACTTGCTTCGAACAGTATTCATTTACAGTTATACAATATTTGTAAGTAAATATTCATATTTGTATCTAACTATTCCATAATAATTAACGGCATGGAATCGGTTGCCATATTTCTGTACAGCAGTGATTATCTGTGTATTATAAAATCAATAACGCAGCATAAAATACGAATAAACAAACATTTTTATTCAAATAAACATGTAAGGCGCTTGGCCCCTTGATCGCGAGGCCCTGCATGCCGGCCCTGATTATACATGAAGTGACAAAAGAAAGCTAACAATGGTTCTACTCATAAATTTGTTATGTTGTACGTTTGTTAGGCAAAGACAATACCATACAATACTTTCTCTTTTTTTTTTTTTTTTATATATTATAGCTTCTAGTATAATATACTAATGATAGCTCAACAATTATACAAGATAAATAGTTCACATATATAGATTTCAAAATAATTTTAACATAGTAATTGAGATAGTAGTGTTATTGTGTTAAAAATAATATGAATCAAAGACCTATTAGTTACAATAGTTACATTTACATATTCGGCAATTAGAAATATTTTAATTTAATTATGAGATAAGAATATATAACGTATTCCTCTTAATGAAGTTTCATAATATTCAAAATATCAGTGGCTTATAACTTAATAAAATTGGATTTAAAGAATTCATTGCAGTAAAAATGTACTTAGTTATTGTTTAGTACAAATGCAATACTAAAATAAGTCTTATAGTTGTGTTAGCACATTTTGGCATTATTTTCAATACACTGTATACAGTGTGAGCATCATAAGACCTGAAAGTCACAAATTGAGAAAAAAATTAAAACAATTAGAAAATGGCGATAAAAACTTCTAGATTATGGCTTATTTAATATGTAATTTTTGTTTTAGAGTTTTGAGTGTATTTTAAATATTACTTGATTAAGTTTAGTTATATGATTATAAGTTTGTCAGCCTTAAATAGTAAATAATTAAAAAAAAATTTTTTTTCCAGATTTACAATGCATATAAAATCCTTAGTCATTGACGGCTTTAAGTCATATGGAAAACGCGTGGAGTTGAATAATTTTGATCCAGAATTCAATGCTATAACTGGCCTAAACGGTACAGGAAAATCAAATATTTTAGATGCAATATGTTTCACTTTGGGAATATCAGCTATGAACACTATACGTGCTTCAACCATGCAAGATGTTATTTATAAAAGTGGACAAGCGGGTGTTCATACAGCCACTGTCACCATCACTTTTGATAATAAAGATAAATCAAGATCTGCTCCGCATTACACACACAATGATGAAATCGTAATTTCACGAGAAGTCGGAATGGGTTCTAAAAACACTTATAAGATTAATGGTCTTACAGTGACGGCTAAAAAAATTATGGACTTTTTTAATTCTCTGCAAATGAATGTAAATAATCCTCATTTCATTATTATGCAAGGTAGAATTACAAAAGTGTTGAATATGAAACCTATAGAAATATTGTCTATGATTGAAGAGGCTGCTGGCACTAATATGTACGAGTCTAAGAAAAGAAGTCTTGAAATGACAGTGGGTAAGAAAGATAACAAATTAAAAGAAATGCGAGATGTAGCAGATGAAGAGATTCTTCCAACTATGGAGACTATTGAGAAAGAAAAACAGATGTTGGAGGAATTGAATATGGTTCATGGTCAGTTAAGAATACTGAACGAGAAGCTTGATAATTGGAATTATGTACAACTAAAAAAAATGGTAAGTCAATTTTCTGAGGATCTTAAGCAACTAAATGTTAGAAAACAGAAGAAAGAAGAATTGATTGAAGATTCAAAAATTCAACTGAAAGATATGGAAAAGCAAATAAAAGAACACGAGGAATTGCTCAAAATAAACGGTGGAAATAATTTGAATGCATTAAAAGTTAAATTTGAAGAAACAGAAAAAGAAAAAGATTGTGTACAGCTTCAAGTAAATGGATGTAAAACAAATATAAATATTGAGGTTAAAAAAATTAAAGATCTGGAAAAACAAATAAACAATAGCAAGAAAGGTTATGAAGCAAAGAAAAAAGAGATGGAAGACTTTAATGAGATGAATGCAGGTGTAGAAGAAGAGAACAAAAAAAATACAAATGATTTAGATGAAATTGATAAAAAAATACGATCATTGAATTCAGGAAATATATTTGGTGATGAAGATAATGGTTCAGTGCAGGAAAATATTAATAAATATAATTTAGAATTACAAAACCAGCAGACAGAAAACCAACAATGTACAATTAAAATTGATGGATTAAAAAAAAAGTTAAACGAACACTTATCTGGTATGAAAGAAGCAAAGAAAACATATGACTCACAAATGGCTCAATTAACGGCTAAAGAAAAAGAATATGAGAAAATAAAAGATGAATATATAAAAGCTAGTGAAGCATTAAATCAACATCATAATTTGAAATCAAGTCGTGATAATTTACTCAGAGATATACGTAATTTTAGTTCAAAAACTGAATCGTTTGAATCGAATAATCCAGCCTTATTCTTTAGATATAACGATCCAAGGCCTAATTTTGACCGACGTAAAGTACATGGGCTTATTTGCCGTTTATTTACGCCTATTGATTTTAGATTTGAGCTTGCATTAACAACTTTGGCTGGAGGTAAATTGTACTTTATTGTTGTTGAAGATGATACTGTCGGTAAAGATATTTTGGAAACCAATAAGTTTTCAAATCGTATGAATTTTATACCTTTGAGTAAAATTAAATCTGATAGTTTGCCTCCCCATGTTATACGTACAGCTCAACAAATTGGTGGAGCTGATCAAGTATTTCCTGCCATGTCACTTATAAAATATGACAAAAAACACTTAAAAGCCATACAATGGGTATTTGGACAAGCATTTATATGCACTACTAAGGAAATTGCTGAAAAAGTTTGCTTTGATAACAGAGTTAATCGGCATTGTTTTACATTGGAGGGTGATCATTTCAATCCCTCTGGTAGTCTTACTGGCGGAGCAAACACTCAAAGACTTATTTTACAATCAATAGCAAAACAAGATGAAATTTCATTAGAGCTTCAAGCAAAAAAATCTGAGTATGAAAAGGTTGATAATAGTTGTAAAGCTATGCATAATTTGCCGGAAAAAGTTGCACAACTTAAAGATCGACAAATTACAGTTCAAGAAGAGTTGGAAAAAATTCAATCGGATGTACATTTAGGACAACCTCATCAACAAGTTACTGAATTTAATAAAATTAATCAGCAAATAGTAGAACTGGAGTCTAAGTTAGTTGAAGGTAAAGCACATGAAAAAACCTTACAAAAAAAAATTAAAGACTTAGAAAACAAAATGAAAAATGCTGAGAATATTCTAAAAAAACAGTTAAGCGATGCAGAAAAAACTAGAAAAAATATTTTAGAAAAAATAAAAAGAAACAAAACAGAATATGATGGGAAAAAAAATAACTACAACAAATTAGAACTTGAAATTAAAGACTTAACTGGTCAGATGCAAGAAGAAGAAAATCAATTGGTTGAGTTAAATGTTGAAAAGAAGGAACTTGAAGAAAAGCTACTCACATTGATGTCCAAACTAGATAAGGCTGATGAAAAATGTAAGGAAGCATCTAAAGAATATGAAAGCCAGAAAGAAATTGCAATGCAAAATTCTAATAAAATGCAGCAAAATCAATATTTATACAAGAGGTTGACTGATGAAATTTCAACTATTAAAGTTAATCTGGCAGAGCTTTCTTCAGAAATTACTAAAGTGAATAATGGATCATTAACTGCCAAAGAAAAATTTGAGAAAATTGATAAGAGATTGCCTGAAGAACAAAAACAAATGGCACTTAAAATGGATTTTATAAATTTTAAATCTGGTAAGATTTGCATAATATACAAAAATATACTGTGGCAGTATTTACTGCAATGATAAATTTTATATTTTGCACCAAACATTTTCATACTATGCCACCAAGTATTATATTTTTATTCAAATTTTTATGTAATGATTATAATATTTTTTTAATTTTTATAATCTTTTTTTATAAGACATGTGTAAATTAAAAAAAAATCTGAAATAAATACTTTCTAAGCAGATTTTCTTACTAAGAAAATTATAAATAGGTATTTAAAAATTAAAATTAATTCTCAAATTTTTATATAAAATGTTATAAGTTCAAAGAAACAATTAATTAACCTCTAAAATGAATAGATTAAATTGATTAATACTCAAAATTTGACTATGAAATACATCAGACTTTGTTTAAAATTAACCGAAGAAACATAATAAATTGTCAAAATAAATCTGTCTATAAATCCCTTAAGAAAGAAATAATTATTGACTATGTCTCATTTATGAGACACCGGTCTAAGCAAAGATATTATCTTATTTTGCTGTGAACGTGTTAATTATCAATTTTTATTATTATTATTTTAATACCGATTACTAACATTTGGGCTTAATTATTTCTATTTTTGTTAGGTATTCATTTCGTTTTTTAATTTTTTTGATTTTTGTTATCATTTTACAGTTATATTTATTTTTTGTTATATTTTTGTCTGTATTATTGAATATGTTTCATTAAAAAATGTTTTCCATCCCTGAATTATAAACTTTAATTAATTAAAAATGTATTATTGTTAATAATTTAGTAAAAAAAATTGTAAGTTCTTTGACAATTCAAACAAACCTTTTTAACTGGGATATTTAAGAAATACAAATAAATAGTCAATTAAAGTACTGTACACTATAAGTGGCATAAGTGTTTGGTGTTAGGTATATATTCTGTAGGTTTGCTCAATGAATAAAATTACTTTTTGGTCAATACATTTTGAAATTTGTATAAAGGTTTTACTAAAGACTTTTGAATAGTTTGATTAATTATATATTATTTGTTCACAGAGGAATGCAATCGGTCAGTTAATGAACTGCAAGCTAGGTATGATCAATTAGCAAAAGTTGTAGATCCAGGTAAATTGAATAACTTTCACAAACATATTCAAGAGTATAAGCGTCTCCAAAAGAAACTGGAAACAATTGTAAAGGATAAAATTAAAATTAATGAAATAATTGAAGAACTAGAAGTGAAAAAACGTCTTCATTTACAACATGCTTCAAATCGTGTGAATATAGAGTTTGGAAAAATATTCAGTAGCGTATTACCTGGTGCCCAAGCACGTTTAAAACAAACAAACTTAGACGACATTACAGCCGGCTTAGAGATTTGTGTTGCATTTAACGGACTATGGAAGGAAAGTTTAGAAGAACTAAGTGGTGGCCAGCGCTCTTTGGTTGCATTGTCTTTAGTCTTAGCCATGTTGTTGTTCAACCCAGTTCCTCTTTACATTTTGGATGAAGTAGATGCTGCTTTAGATCTTTCCCACACCCAGAACATAGGGAAAATGTTGAAGCAACATTTTAAGCAATCCCAATTTATTGTAGTATCGCTCAAAGACGGTATGTTTAGCAATGCTAATGTATTGTTTAGAACAAAATTTGTGGACGGATCTTCTGCAGTTACTAGAACTACTTGTAATCAAACATAAATTTAATTTTGAATTTGTAATTTTTTTATAACAATAGTTTTTACTTTAAAAGTTGTATCCGACTTACATAATATAAATGCAGTTGACTTGATCTTTTTGTTTGTTGTACTCCAAAATTGTATTCATAAATCTAAAGTTTATTTTTTGTATTTTTTTTTTAATATTACCATCATTACTTTTCTTGTCGAGGCATTTCAATTGTTCTTAGTTAAATTTACTTTTCATGTTTTGATATTTAAAAAGATAACTATACAATTTTTAAAAGTTTGATAGATTTTTAATAATATACTATTTAGTAATAATTCTTAAGACAAGAAATTGATATGGTTAATTTATACTTAACACTCTTTACAATATTAAATGTATATACAAGTTTTATAATATGTATAATAAAATTATAAACATTTAAGAATAATAATATAAAATACAAAGTTTTCATTTTTATGTGGTAGACAAAAGAAGAATACAAGTGTCTTTCACTAATGTTTGTAGTACATTTTTAATTACTAATGGTTTTTTTTATAAAAATAATTGTTACATTACACTGTGGTGGATTTAAGGATGGGGCGGAGGTGCTTGAAGCTGAAGTCCCCTTTCCGCGTATTGAACTTTTTTTAAAATTATAAATTAATAAGATATCAGTTTTCACTTATCACGTATAGCTAAACATATTAATTGTAGACTATACTACCATGGAATAGGCTACATTTGTTTTTACCCAAAAATTGAATATAAAATGTACCTACGGAGCATTATTATCAAAATAGTATCCACCATAAAAAAATTGTATGTCATTTATTTTAATATTAATGAATTCTTATTTCTGAATTATCAATTTTTTTTACTAAAATTTTGGTTAGGTTGAAACTTTGTTTTAACGGTTTAATATTAGTAATATATTATGTACTAATTATAAAAAATATGAAATATTAACTTTCGGTACTACAAGTTTAAGTTCTTAATTTTTAAGAATACATTTTTATTCGTAACATTAAATATATTACGTTTTGTTTTTCGTTGTTTCTTTTATGAATGATAAGTTAAATTATTTTGTATGAAGATAAATTTGACATAGAATTCCAATCATTCACTTTAAAGTAAACACTGACTAAGGTACTATACTTAGTTATTGTAATTTGTAGGTGCCTATAGGCTATAGCCTATAGTGTAGCCTATAGTGGATTTTAAAAAAATGATTTTCAATTTAATATAGATAGGTATCATGTATCTTTTGTATTCAAATTTAGATTAATTATCAAGTCTATGGTATATAATAATAATACATATATTATAATCTGTAAATTGTAAAATATCCGAGTCTAGGTATATAGAGCAATAGACTAAATGTTACACCTGTTTTATATATTATGTAAAACTATTAGTGAGTGTTAAAAACTCAAAAAATACCTGTTCGAAATTTGATTTTGTCGCTTTAATATTTTCAAATTCTATCTAAATTATCTGAATGGCAATTAAAAATTTACAATAAAATAAATAAATAATTTACAGTCAACAGGTTATATTTTATATGAAAAAATAAGTTAGTATTGTCATAGAATACTATAGGTATATTATGATGTTTCGCGGAAGAATGCGAAAGCAGTTCCCGCGGCGTCGTCGGTTGAAAACCGGAAAAAAAAAAAAAAAAAAAAAGGTATATTATGATGCTACTAAAAATTTAAAAAATCAGAATTTAATAAGTTCATTAGTAACAAATATACCTATAGGATATAGGGTGGGATGCATGCTTGGTGAATAGCTTTGTATATATTAATTTAATTGTTGCCTCATATAGTGGCGTATCTAGAATTCAAAAAAGGGGAAGGGGTCACGTACGAATAATATACTATTATAGGTACATTAATAATAATAATATCAATTATTATATTTATAGGTACCTACCTACTACCCATCAATTTAACGCGGAGAGGGAGGGCATGACCCCTAGCCCCCCTGATACGGCGTTACACCACTAGCCTCGCAGAAATATTATATACAGCCCGCCAATCATAGGCGCTATTTAAACTTTTGGCTTGGGGGGGGGGGGCTGAATATATTAAAATCAAGCAGACCATTGCAATAGGTATTTTTCTCGTAGAGCCGTGTTTATGTGGACCAAATTATATTAGCACCGTGTTACCTTGTTACTTCCATCAATTTTAGATAAAAATACCTTTAGTTTTGACAAAATTAAGTTATTTAACGTTGTCCGATTTTCATTCTGAAATAAAATTTGAACATAACAGCAAATTGTCTATAAATCGTGCAGAACACTTTGTAAAAATTAAATTTTACACTATTATTGTGAATTTGTGAACGGTACCTAATTGAAAACTAAAAAACTCGAAAATAAGAATTTATTCAAATAATAATTAAAATTAAAAACGAAAAGTGTGTTGTATATGATATTATACACTCTACAGATATTTTACTGCTGAATTCAAATATTTTTTCAGAATCAAAATCAGACAACGTTAGTTAATTTTAATTTTGACAAAATCATAACTGTATAATTGTAGGTTTTCGCAAAATTTGTATAGTGAATTTGATATTATTTTTATCGAGCATTGGCGTATTGTGACAAGAGCAGTGCTTGAATTGGAAAAAAAATAGAAGGGGTATGCAAAAGTATAAAACATTTGTGCGTCCCCCCAACATTTAAATGTCTTATCAATTCTTGAAATTAGAAGGGGTACGCTAAAATATTTTAAAAATAGAAGTTGGACTCCATCCCCCCGCGCCCCCCCTCCCCCCCCCAATTCAACCACTGGACAAGAGTGGTACTCACATTGAATTTCACTCACAAATAATCATTTGCAATCAACACAATAGACTCTCTGGGTGGCTAAAACAAGATTAGAAATTGCCTAAATGTTGCCCCTTAAATAATCGCCATAGGGAAGTCCCCTTAATGATTAGGCACACTAGAAGATTCAGCTGTGACTTAGAAACTAATTAGGTAATATTTTTTTAAACTATTTAATAGTATCTATTATTCAATTGAGTAATGTTTTAGATTCTGAGTTGAACAAGTGAATTTATTGGTTTTACAAATATGTACTTTTTTATGACTTATCACTAAGGCAGTAGGGCTGTGAATATTTGTATAAAATATCTTTAAAAAAATGCACCCACTTAAATTTGGAAAAATTTACTAAAATACTAAATACATTACAATTCATGGGAATCTCAAAAAATGCTGTTTAAAATACTTAAATAGGTACATTGAAAGTATAATAATATATGTAATATACCTATATAATTTAAAAGTGTAAGTAAATGGATATTTTGTATCAAAGATATAAAGTAGTAAGTACTTACAATATTCGTATTGGTATTTATAAAATAAAAATGAAAAAGTGGGTACCTATACCTACCTGTATGTGGGTAAAACGCTTTGCTGAAGGCTGAAAACTAGGTGTTTAGAGAGTCACTGTAATGAATGTCTTAAATTTGAATTTAATGATTCTAAAATCATTGTAGATACCTATACGAAAAACGATTCTGAGCGAAAAGTGAAAACGGTCTGTCTGCTTTTAATATTACTATTTGTCATTTGATCATAGGCGCAATTAAGGGGGGACTGGGGGCTTTAATATGTCTATAAATAACTAAAACAAATCAAAAATATTGAAAATTTGATCATGTATAGAAAATGATAAGATAAACATTACAAGTACATACGGTTATTAGTTTTGAATACAACGAAATAAGAAAATCTTATGTTAATTTATGGATTCCAATATCTAAACTTCAGCGGTTCGTAAAAATTATTTGATTTTTGGTAAACTTTTTATTTTTAAATGTAGGAAAATTCAAGGGGAATCTTGTTTTACATATTCAAAGCTTAGATATTAATAGAGAGCTTTTTATGAATTTCTAACTCAAAATAATTTACCAATTTTTGTGATTTTAATGAATTTTGTCAACATTTTAACTTCAGAAGCTCATATATCAAATTACTGTTGATTTACTTTCAATTTTATTTATTATAGATCGTTATACGCATAGGTATTAAGTTACAGTGAAAATTCACAAGCTATAGTTAGGTACCTATCACGGACTACGATATAGTCCGTGGTACCTATCTATAGTAGTGGCTAGTACCTACCTACTATCGACATAATATTATGTACAGACTACAGGTCACCATAAAAGATATGAAATTATGTCTTTACAGGTCAGCAAAAACCGGTCGTTTGTTCATACTTACGCCCACGATGGAGAGAAGATAGGTAAATAAAGAAATATATTTTACAAGTGGTATCACCTTATCTTCTCTACACAATGCTTAAGCCTAGAATACGCCTGTGCATCGAACCAATCATGAAAAACACAACTCACAGAACGCAGCTCTGTGACAAATAAAGCACGCACGCTATTCGGTTGTGGCCAATATCGCTCATATGGCACGCAATTCGGATGCAGTCAGGGTTATTAAATAAAGTGAGGGAAAGCTAGTTAGTTTAAAAGTTAATTTACTAATGCTGCAATTGTAACTAAAATGATAAGTTAAATACTTGAACAAAACGAAACAAATTAATTTAATTTATTGTTCAGTTTTATACTTATACTATTTTTTCCAAAAACCGATTTTGGTTTTTGGTGTAACTTTAAACAAATGACCGTAGATACATGAAATTTTCAGTGGTTGTTTATATTTGCATTTAGTATACACGATAACATTTTCAAAATATTTTGATTTATATTGAACTGTTTAGGGACATTTCATTTCCAATTTTATTAGTTTTTAGATTCTGAGTGAAACGATGAATGTATGATTTTACAATGATGTGTGTTTTTTTTTTTATTTTTTTTTTTATTTTTTTTTTTATTTTTTTTGTGTCTGTGTACACGATAAGTAGTCGAAATAATGCTTCGATTTTCGACTTCAGTATCTTGTTCGATTGGAAAGTGAATATCGTTGGTGCATTGGGGAGGTCAAATTTAAATTTCCCAGTAGTTTTCAAGAGCGCCGGGAAAAACACACATAAAAATTA